GCAGTCAATCGAGGGCCCGAAGCGCCGAAGCGACTGGCGCGGTTTCTTTAGCAGGAGGAGACGACATGGCGCCATTGAGTCAGAGCGAGAGGGGTGCAACGCTCACGCCTGTAGCGTAAAGTTGGAGTGAGCTGTCGAGGGTTGATCGAGGAACGCTCATTCAAGAGCAGCGTGAGGACCTCTCGATTAAAGCGCTAATGGAAAGCGTGAACTTGGGAAAAAAGAAAAAGAATGTTTCTTTTTTTTAGAAAGCAGGGCTCCTGTATCGGAGCAACACAAATGCGCAAGGTCGCAAGTATGAGCAGCTCTTGGTGCCACAAAAGTATTGTCGCCAACTATTGGAACTGGCGCATGAAAGCGCATGGGCAGGGCATCTCGGCATAAAAAATACCAAGGATGGAGTTTCCCTTGAGTTTTAATGGCCGAAATTCTGGAAGGATATCGAAGACTTTGTACGCTTATGCGAGACTTGTCAGAAAGCGGGGAAATCCGCGGACAAGTGGAAGGCTCCCATGAAGCTTTCTGATACCAATTATGAAACGAAATTAGGAAAGCGGCCGAACAAAATTTACTACAGTAACTTGATGAAACCATACGTTCAACGTCAAGCGGTCGTAAATCTGCTGTTAAATGCTTCAGAGGAAGAGGGAGCAGAAATTTTGAGTTCTAGTGATGTAATCGAAAGGGGATCGGAGGTAGTCTTGGAGCAGTTGAACCTAGAGCCTAGGTTGAGTGAAGTCCAGAAGGAGGACCTGAAAAGGATCGTTTCCGAGTTTGGAGACGGGTTTTCAGACCGTCCCGGAAACACGACGGTGATTGAACACAATATCCAGCTAACTTGTGAGTAGCCAGTCCGTAGCAAGCCGTATCGTTGTTCCCCTGTGCAACGTCACAAGTATGAGCAGCTGTTGGTACCGCATTGGTATCATCGCCTAAAATGTGGCCGGTCATTGAGGTGGAGCATGATACTCCAACAGCACAACTTTTACGTTCGCTACAAGAAAGGGAAGCTAAACGCTAATGCAGACGCATTGAGCCGTGCATTTAGTTAATACCTTCTCCACCTTTCGGTTTCTCGCTGGTGATTCGGGGCAAAATTTCGTCCTCATCACGGCCTTAGCTGAGCGCTCTCGTCCAGAATGAGCTCAAGAAGCCAACTTTATGTTCTATTATATTTCGTTACGTTGTTGTACGTGTAAAAAATTGAGTTCTCATTTTAAGAGTCTTGTGTCCCACATTTGCCTCTTGATGTAGAGGGAACGAAATTCCGATAGACACGTAGCTAGGTATATGTTGTAATATACTTTTCTGGTGTTCTGTCGGGTGACCGAGGGCACTTGCTTGCGTCGTGTGTTGTCTGTTGTCGAACCGTTCTTGACAAGTTGCAGAACCATCAACAAGTGGTGAGACCAAACATCGTCAGAAGAGACGAGTGAAGCTGGTCGACAAAATGTGGCGACAAGGCAGTGGAGCTGGGATCCTTTCTCAAGAATGGGATGTGTTCCCAAAACAGAGTCTGGAGCTGCATTCTCCCCATGGCCCTGGAAGCGAACCTGGAGGGCCCTGGCGAACGAGCGCGCCCGACATCCGAGCCGCGTGGAAGCAGCTCGTCTTTCCAGTGCATTGTCTGGCAGTGGGGGTGCTGTTATGCCTGCGAATCCACACCGGACATCCATGCCTCTGAAAAAGGCAATCTGTGTCAAGGCCAGCACGCGAGCCCGCCTGACGCGAACAACTCAACAGCGTCATCACGCGGCGGTGCCTTTCTGTCGCGCATGCACCGCGAGCCCATCGAAGCAATCGGCACCTTCCTGTCTGGCGAGTCTGACGCAATGCGTGGCGACATCACTTGTCCTTTGGTGCAGCCACGTGCAGTGCAGCGGCTCCGGATTTGATGAGATTGACGCGGCCCAGCGGCGACCCCATTGGCGGATTCTGGCCTCACGACCAGCGGCGCTTCTGGTTGGACATTTGGTTACTCAAAGAATCCACCCGGTGCATATAAAAAAAACCCTGCGGCGCGAGGAGTAGATCTATGTGTCAGAGGAAAGAGCTCGGCTGTCCGAGTCTCTAAGCTGTCGGCCCCAGTGCCGAATTTGTAACGCCTCTGTCTTTGCTGTACACAAAGCTTGTTAACTCACCGTCGTCTCGTCCGCTCGTCTATCAGCTCTGCACAGAAGCAGTCGCTAGCTGAGAAACCTACGCTACCAAACGGCTAGTGACCTTCCCGGTGGAGTTCGAAGCAGTGGCGCCTTCGGGACCGTGTTGGCGTGGCCGTCTTTTGTAACAGTTGTTGCAGCGGTGAGATTTCGTGGCGCCCTTCGTAACGTCGTCGGAGGCGCGCTTCGTAACAGGAGATAGTTTGCCAGTTCAATATTCGATGCAAATTGTCTATGCATATTGTCATGCATATCGTCACAGTGCTCTTCCTCCCCCAATCTCTCACACCCGTGTATCCAATGTTGCCCACCCCCTTTTTTGTTAGGATGAAAGAGTGGGCACGAAACGCATACACACTAACGCTGAAGAAATTCATTCTGCTCTACACTTGAGGAAGAGAAGTCCGCTTGTCAAAACTTTGGCTCGACACAACCCCTGTTTGCAGATTTTGCATATAAATAAAGAAATGTTGATCAGATGAAAACCATTATACAAAGACAACTTAGATAACAACTGAGGTGATGCCTTTCATCACATGTTCCCGATGCGGCAGTCCCGACATGAGAATTCTCACTGAAAGTGTTTGTTTATTTCGTGTATCGTGTATCAGCTTTAGTTAAAATATTGTTAAATATGGAATGTTAAACTCAAAAAGACTTAACAGTGCGCTGTACATTGTAGCACGCTTCTATAAATAGTTTGAAAATTGCAAATTTCGAAATTTTTTTTAATAAGTAGCACCATGCATACAACAGCGCATGGTTGACAATATCTGCATGCTAAGTAAATGCGTACAAGCAAGGTGTATTTTCTGCTCTGCTCTGGCAGCTTGCGTTAAATTTTCACCTACGTACATAAGTAAAAATTCCTCACCTTTGTAAAGGACACCTCATGATATGTGTAAAAACAGCAATTCTGCGTGTTTTATATATTAAAGTCCCAGTTTGTGAGCAGAGCATTCTAAACTTAGTGAAAGACGTTTTGAACATTTGTGTAAAGTGCAAGTTGAAATATCAACATTGTCCGCTTCACATGGGCTTCAATGCCTCCATCACCAATGTAACCTGGGTGCAGAGCTTTCTTTGTTGGAAAGCTCATGTTCTTTTCCTGTTTCTTGAACTTACAAACCTGTTGTATTTTGCTAGAAAACGAAGTTTCCAGAAGCAATTCTTGCTAAGCTAAGCAGTATTTCGTTTAGAAGTGCAAGGCACTTCATAAGACTCTGGCCCGTTATTTCCTCATACTTAAATTTCCGCATGTTACGTGCAGTGATGGTTGAGTCATCGTTGAGATTAAGCTGAAATTTTGTGGGCATTTTTTTACTCAATTCACTCAGATTATTTTAGGTCCTCCTGAAGTAGAAACTTTAGGCCAGCTTTTCACAGTGGCCGACTGAAAGATCAATGATTGTTTAGCATTTTAAACAGATTTCGGAGATGTACATTTCAGGTTGTCGCCTTATGTGTTTGCTGATTCATTGCTTGAAAGCTTTTCTCGAGATATCAAGCAGTTTGGCTGCAGCTAGATTTAAGTGTCGGCGTGGTACTTGAACAGAACGCCTAATCGAAAGTACTTCAGGTCTAATAAACGTTTTCCTTATTCAATAACGTTCTAATTCTCCCTAAATGTTTTGCCAAAAAGCTAAGGCTAATCTCTGACTTCTCTAAGGGTTCACAGACTTGAAAACATCCTTAGAGGCCACAATAAGGGTTTCTCTATTGGATATCTGTGATCCAAACTGGTGCCACCAGCCTGGCCGCTCACAATTCGCCTCGTGCATGGCTACAAATAAAAAAAGTCAATGATATTGGTAGCTTAGTTAAGGTCACACAACTTTCTACTGCCGAAGTGAAGAAGTTGGGGCCTGTTTATGAGCGCAACAGGGCCAGTAAGAGAGGGGGTGCGCCAAAAAATAGGTATGGTTTCGCCACGCAGTGTTAATCGACACACATTTTAATGTTCCGCACTACTCAGAATAATTTCCCTCATTCAATTTCAATTACAGCGCTTTCTGTTCGCGACAACATTTCTTGCGAATATATGTTGTTATGAATTATGTATCTTCAAGGCTTGCCTACGTGGTCAATATTTTTTTCAGTTTCGCACGCTCAGTGTGTTATGCAAGTGTCAGTATACTAGAAAGTCTTTTCTACCTCAACAAAAGAGAGGTCATTTGGTAAATAAGAAATTATTCAGCTTACGATACTATAACTATACCTCCACCACACCTCATCAGCCGATGTAATCGGAAGTAGGACGTAACCAATTCTAAATACATTTCACTCCCTGAGAGGCAGGAAGTCAAGTCGAAACTAAATGATACGAAATATGTCACACACGATCTACGGACAGCTTATACCTGCAATCTCATTCACGATTATTCAATTCACTGATGACCAATCCACGTCGTGAACATAAGTAACCTCAGAGTATATATCTGTAAATGCAAGTTTGACAGAGCCCAAATGAAGAGTGAAAATTTAATTACTGAGGCCAAGTGAGTACCAATGGAAAAATTCTTGGCGATTGCAACTGCGATTTAGCTCTAAAAATATATTGTGAACATGAGGCCTCTTTCTTACAATTACTTCTATTAGCTTGAGCGTCTGGCGTACAGAACACTTAGAAGAACCTGTTTTTCCATAGTTTCTTTATACGGCTTTCAGTAATGGTGTCGCAAGGGTCTGCACTTTTCGTACTAGTCTATTCTGTTTGAAGGTGCGTTGTTGGTTACAACGTTATGAACTTGGCTAACGAAACGTGCCATATGAGAAAGCTTGGCATAAAACATGATTATCAACCTTTTTTTAATCTTAAGGCCAACATATATTTTTACTTACCTTTCGGGGATGAACTTTTCAGGATTCTCCCAATATTTTGGGTCGTGGTGCAACTGGAATGTGGGCACCATGACAGATGTTCCCTTCTTAATCAGGTATTTCCCGTAGAGATAATCTTCGTCAGCACACCGTGTCGTAAACCTGTGTATGTAAACCAGTGTGATGTGACATCACGGTGAAAAGATGGCAAAAATATTCGTGTTTCAAGAACCAATTTTGACTCAAGTGTAGCATCAGAAATATGTCTACCTTTCTAATGAAAGTCAAAACACAATTAAGGGTTGAGAGTATAAATTCTCTGTGTGATCATGGAGCACTCCACAGTCGCTGTGTAATTTGGTTGCACGAAGTAGACCTGGCAACCAGCTCTAGTAAAACTGCTCACTTTTGAGTTTTTCCTTCCCGTGTTATACCGAGTAAACAGGCGAAATAATAAGTATGCCCATGGAAACAGTGGGATAAGCAGCTTGTGAAATTTGCATTACAAAAAAGAAATCTTAGTGTGAAGAACATCGTTTGGGGCCACTGGAAGCTACATTTGCACAAAAGGTCACATGAAATAAAATTTTCAGTTTTACGCTTGATATTGTGCGATGTGTTTGTGCAAGACTTCGTAGTTAAACGAAATGCTGTAAGCCCAGCGAGGCGTGGCTTTGGATTACTTCTTCCTTAAGCAGCACCATCTCTCAATCAACACCCACATAGAGGCGGACAGACAGACAGACAGAAAGACAGACAGAAAGACAGAAAGACAGAAAGACAGACAGACAGACAGACAGACAGACAGACAGACAGACAGACAGATAGATAGATAGATAGATAGATAGATAGATAGATAGATAGATAGATAGATAGATAGATAGATAGATAGATAGATAGATAGATAGATAGATAGATAGATAGATAGATAGATAGATAGATAGATAGATAGATAGATAGATAGATAGATAGATAGATAGATAGATAGATAGATAGATAGATAGATAGATAGATAGATAGATAGATAGATAGATAGATAGATAGATAGATAGATAGATAGATAGATAGATAGATAGATAGATAGATAGATAGATAGATAGATAGATAGATAGATAGATAGATAGATAGATAGATAGATAGATAGATAGATAGATAGATAGATAGATAGATAGATAGATAGATAGATAGATAGATAGATAGATAGATAGATAGATAGATAGATAGATAGATAGATAGATAGATAGATAGATAGATAGATAAATGCTCAAGGTGCCTCTAATATGCTAAGAAATGTTTCGCATTTAAAAGTGCCCGTTCGTGTTGGCCACATTAGCAACCCAAACAGAAACGTAATCAAAACTGGCCTTGTCCATAATGTCAACGCAACGTCGCCATGATTTCTGTTGATAATGCTATCACAAAATCATCGCTTCGTTAGAGGTCGCCCTATCCTACAAAAAATGTGGTTGATTAATCTAATATAGAACTGGGTGAAACGCACGAAAGTGAAATGTGTCCACACAGAAGTAGCTCAATGTTTATTACACATTGATACATAATGTCTATTGTTGTTTAGTGGCTACAGCACCATTTGATGTTGATGAACCCATGTTCATACCTGGTGAACATTTTTTCCGTCACAACAATGGACGACTCGTGACCGGCATACCCTTTCCGGCACGCACCTGAGCATCGGAGAGAGAGAGAATAAACGTTTCTTAGTACTGTCAGAAAATTAAGTGGGAGGGGCCCTTTGTCTAGAGCTCCCATGGCTGTAGCAACTCGCCGGGCCTAGTCCAGGTTTGCCAATTGGCTTTTCAAGGCCTGTTCTGAGAATCTCTCCTCCCACGACCAATGTGGTAACGGTTGTGCTTGTATGAGCGTTGAATTGGCCGCAACTGGACGCGAGGGACATCTGTATGTACAACTCACACTTGAACCACAGCGTTCGTAAACCAAGCAAATGAAACCGAGCTCGTTTTCATTGAATTGTTCTGGAACCTACAGTCTGCTGCAGCAAAGGAGCGTGATTTACGGGTTGGTGACCGTCCTGTGAATACTTTCTTGGCATCCAGCGTCGTGTCGGCGGGCAGCCTTCTGTTGATAGGTCGCTTCGGCGAATATAAAATTATTTTGGTCTTTATCGGTGTCTTTATGCAAGCCGGTTGGGTCTTGATGCGCTCAACTGCACAAACGCCAGAAATAGTGTTGCCAGCTGGTGCCGTGAATGCGCGAAGACCTTCAGCTTGACCCTTGCATGTCCATCCCTGTAATGAACTCACTTGCTTTTCACCCGTCAACGCCGTTGTATTTCAGCGGCGCTTCACGAAACACTTCTTGTTGTCGGCACCATCACACTCACATCAGAAGAAGGCAGAGATACACCATTGTTGCATAATAAAGCTGCACAACACTGCACACGCAAGCACAACGTGAAAGATGTACCATGTGCACGTAACTCAAAGCAATCAACACGAAAGACGAATCACGTAACTGCGTCATCAGGGAGTCAAATCAGCTGGTAGAGCGCGCCCCAATTACACATTGTGCTTGTGGTCTGCGAAATCACTCTAGAAACCTTCTCGGATTCGACTGCGAAGGCAACGCTACACTTTCTTTCAAATGGGGCTAACGCCACCTAGGTGCCGTTTGCCCTACTATGATACCCAAGGGTCCACTCAAATACTACCATCGAGGCACACAAGGGGTGCACAGAGTTCTCTATCGGTGTTAGTTCGTGTCACAATACAGCACTTCTCTTCTACGCTCTTAAGTAGCGGCACCACCCAAAAAAACGCGGGGAAACAGCGAAGGATTCAGAGAGAAATAAGGAACATCCAAAGAGCTTCTCGGGCATGCTCTGATAGTTCAGTAATAAATAAAAAAGTAGATCTGTCGACTTCCGTGGGCTTCCAATAAATAGCCGCTCATGGAGAAGTCGTGGGTTCGATTTCCAGGTCTCGAAGCCTACGAACTTTCTTTTTCTTGTGGTTCACTTTTTTGCATGTTGCTCATGTAAACTTTACCAATGTCATATCTCTGACAGATGTCAGTGATGTCTCGACGGATCTTGGAACAAAACCCTTTGGTGTTAAAATTGAAACACCAGGTGAGGTGCACAGTTTCCTTGTGTCGCAAAGGGGTTCAATCCAAACAACCAACTGTTAATACAAACCAGCAAGCAAATGAAAAATAAAGTGCATGGGATCGTCCTTCTAGCCGTCTTAGGCGAATGCATGGGGGGTACTGTCATGACGAGGATTCGGGGACACGAGCCGTAGCGGTGAGTCTCGTCGGTTACAGCAGTGGCCTGCCATAACCGAATAGGAAAAAGGCTAAAAAACACTATCAGACAAAAAAGTCACAGCGTATCCACGGAGTGAATAATGATGAGTCGGGCGAAGTGTCCGTCCCTCCGTCATCTGTGCGTTCATCCGTCCATGCATACGTATATCCTTCCATACGTGCGTCCGTCCGTGCGTGCGTCCATCCGTCTGTCTGTCTGTCTGTCTGTCTGTGTATCTGTACGTTAGTCTGTCTGGCGACGAGCACGAGCCACCGCGCCACTACACGCCCGCCACTCTGCTTTGTCCATGCCTCATCACCAAGGATTCACCACATAAAGTGACGATGCAGAAGACTGAGAGGGGCACTTGTTCTCCGCCCACTGAGGCACAGCCCACGCAGCAGCCAATCAGAGAGTAGCGGTACAGCGGCGTCTAGAATATCTTCTCTCAACTACCGTTTGTATGTGCTTCTATAAGACTGTGCCATCTATTATACTGTTTGGAAGAGACTGCCTTCCTTTTTTCTCGTTTTCCTCTTCGGTCGGCTACGCACGACAAGGTTAGACTAAGAAGAGCTCCACCCCTAAAATTCTACTTACCCCAAAATACCCCTTAGTTTGTGAAGCAGAATACTCACTGGAAAATGCTGCGGAAATTAGAGGGTCACATTAGGAACTGCGTGACTTGTCAGAGTGTGTATTATTATGGCCCATATATTTTATAAGGGCAATGTTTACTTTTCAGCGAAGCCAAATGCTTTTATGATAATATAATTTTGCCAGACCATTGAATTGGATGTTTGCTGTATACGATCGGAAATTGTGTTTTCATAACTAGCTCTGTTCATCAAATATGATTTCATTTCGTCGCACCATACCATATTGCCGAATGATTATTAAGCAGGATGCCGCTGGTGCCTCCGAGAAATGGTACCATGTACAGTTGCCCCCCAAACTTGTGAATTACCTTTTAGTATCTTGAAACGTTAGGCAACATTTCCCGCCATCAGCTGGGCAGAGCACGGTGCATACTAACGGTGGGGCAATATATCGCGAGTAGTGGTCACATTAAGCCGCAGTTTTAATAATGCAACAATTTATCCCTACACCTCACGCATCGTGCTGCAGCATTCATGGCTGTAATGACATATTCATAACAGAAAACAGAGGAGCGTGGGATACTCACGTAATTACTGGTGGATATATCCTCAATGTCTCGGAAATCACTTGATTTGTGTACGGAAGGGTTGAAAGTGTTTCATAAGATAAACAGTCTCCCTGAAAATACATGCAACATGTGATTAGGTTTTTTGCGGGCAAAATTGAAGTGGAAAGAAGAAATTTCGGGAGCGTTGAAAGCGCTTAATATATGAACTTAAAGCTTTAAATGTGTTCTGAGACCCAGTACTGCATCCAATACGATACACATATAAGCGTATATTACGCAAGTACACTTACATGAGTATGTAAGGAGATTACCAATACTTTTTGTGGGTTCCACATGCCATAACAACTATAAAACAATCCCATCCTTAGTAGGTGACTACTCATTAGAGGGCTCTTAAGCATTTTGAACTGCGAAGACAAGAGAATGGTTTTTCTTCTTTTCACTACTAATAGTACAGTCGATATTGCCTTTTCAACACTTATTCCTTCATAAAGCACGTGCACAATGTCACTACAAGCGCCCTGCCTACCAATATTTAGTTCTTGTCATTTACATGCTGTACTTTACGTTTGCGCAGTCGAAAACCGTCAATACGAAGTCATGACAATCATGTTACGCAAGGAACAACGCGTGCGGAGACTACATGGCAAAGCACGGTAGGAGACGATTCACAGCTGATGATGATGGTGGGGATGATAAAGATGATTGCCTATATGTACGACTCACATGTACTTTTGGGAGATTCACAAATGATTGCCTCCGTATATGAATCAGTCGAGAGTTGGTGCAACAAATACAACCCCTGAGTTGCCATTGTGGTGCCACGAAGTGCACCGGAAAGGCGATAATAACACGCTCTTTTTTTCTTTTCTAGGGGCCGCAGGTTCCCTTTAATGTCTAACACCTCAGTTTCTACAATGTACGCCGAAGTGTAGGGACAAAGCTTTCAGTGCATTTCACCTCCATAGGAATGTGGCTGCCGTGGTCATCAATTAAAGCACCATTCGTAAGCTCTACCACAACGAGTAGTCGAGAAATCAGAAAATAACGAATTAAAACGTGTTATCCATCTGCGTCTGTGCACTTAGCGTGACTGATCTTGGTCGCCCTGACAAAAAAAATTGTCATAAATAAACTGAAACGACAAAAAATCTGATGTTAGAAATAACCTTTTACCATGCTTGAGTAATGTTCTATTACAAGATATTAATTTGTTGCTACTTCTTGAAAACAGCATATGCTGAGCAAGCACAAATTGTACATAGTAGGATACATCTGATGCCATTTTTTGCTGTTGTCTTGTAGTTTTCTGCAATTCTTCGCTAGTATTCTCCATCCGACAAGCTGGGAAATGAACTTGTTATTGCGAAAGATTACTTAAACAACATCGCTACGATTACTGTATACCTATCATTACACTGGCGAAATTATTAACTTCATGAAGAAAACAGAATGACATCAAAGGGACGTGGGAAACTACAAGAACGCGTCAAACGTGTTAGCTGAGCGCGTCGACAATCGCCATCATTCATTACATCGACTGAGATAACGCCACTTCAATAACCAAAAAACAGAATTCTACCAAAAGACTAGATTTGAAACGCCCTTTTTTTCGATGACGAAGGACGTTATTATCTGAAAGTATGGAAAGCTACCCGGTAGCTAGACCCATCCATCGCATAACATTTTGGAATAAAAAAATTGACACCGTATCTCTGTGTTTAATTGCAAATGTCGTCGAAAGACTGTAGTCTTGCATGTGGAGAGAGTAAACTAACCGTTTATTTGATGCTCTGGGTGAGAAAACCGATGAATAGTATTGTCGATGCGCTGCGTTAGAGAGTATTCATCTGTGTAGCGAAGCCGAACGAGCCCCTCTAGTGACGTTAGACACGAGCACCATCTGGCAGTTATCTTCGAAAACGAAAGAAAGCGTGCGCACCTACGGAGAAAGATGCGTGCTTGTCTCGGAGTCGATATAAAGTAGAACGCAAAGCGATGGGCCGGTGCCACCACTACGTCGTCTTAGCAAGGACATAGTGGCAAAGCGTTGGAAACACTTGCCACTATGTCCATTGATTGATTGATATGTGGGGTTTAACGTCCCAAAACCACCATTTGATTATGAGAGACGCCGTAGTGGAGGGCTCCAGAAATTTCGACCACCTGGGGTTCTTTAACGTGCACCCAAATCTGAACACACGGGCCTACAGCATTTCCACATCCATCGGAAATGCAGTAGCCGCAGCCGGGATTCGAACCCGCGACCTGCGGGTCAGCAGCCGAGTACCTTAGCCACTAGACCACCGCGGCGGGGCACTATGACCATCGCGTTGCACTGTCAGCGCAGAGTGGTAAACGCTACGGTCCTCGGAATTACTTGTGTTAGCCTTCTCCAGTATAAAGGTGCACATAAAAAACATAGAAGTGTTGTTATGGTGCCTTAGATATGCGCAGCAATTGCTTTTAATTGACAATCGCACAAGTATGACGCTGAAACTTGATCAATATTGGTGGGCGCTGGGGATGGGGTTGGCCGTCTAAGGTATCGTTTGATGCCGTTAGGCAAATTGTTACTGTGGACAAACAGACAAACGTACAGACAGACAGACAGACAGACAGACAGACCAAAATTTTGGCGTCGAAGGTCCCCAAGAACAACTGTTGTTTTTAAATGTTGCAGCGCTTGCCAGCTTATGATCAAGAAATCTGAATGGGTTCCAATACGTCTCTCTATTTTTCCCATCTGATGATGATGATGATGACCTGATATGGATAGCGCCCACCTACAGAGAGGGTTGGGCCAAAAGCCAGGCGGAAGGATGCTAAAGTAGTGAAACTAAAACCAATCTTAAAATTAGTGTAGGCATAAAAGTGAGAATAGGTGAAAATGATTACACAGTAAGCGCTCAAATATGCTCTGTTTCTTGATTGAAATACTTACTAATTATTGAATAAGAATCTGAATAGTGAGAACACGCTAACACGGTAATCTTTTTGTTGCTTTAATGTAGTCAGACACAGTAGAGCATGCATTCCTGTGGCAGTAACTTTACGCAGTGCCACCAAGTGATAAAAATGCTGTAACATATAATACTATTCCTAACTTGTCATCTGTGTCATGTTTATTTACACAATAAAAGACATACCTATGTAATTCTAAGGAACGCAGCGTTTATTACGCTGCGCTGACATTATAACGCAATGCACCAAAAGGTGGGTGTTTCCTGCAATTTGCCACGACGAAACCATGGTGGCTCCTACCCGTCGCCTTGCATTTTTCAAAATGTGGCCGTCGAGATTGCGTGCATACGGTAATATTTCTAGGCACTATACATTCACTGCGCACTCGCTCTATCGGAGGCCATGTTTTCATTTCCCAAGATTACTGACTGATGGCGTTATTGCCTCATACAGAGCCTCCAGAATCCCATTCACCGATCTCCTCGCGCGGAACATCAAATGAACGTTTTATTCACTCCCTCCAGACGCACGAATATCGTCTTTTGCCAAGATTTGCAGTGATACGTGCCGATAGGAGGCCATTTCTCCTGCTTTTATTCTCTCTACTTGGTTCCACAAACTGAAAGGCTTTTTAATGTCGAAAAGGTTAGAACCACATGTGGTCAAAATTTCCGGATCCCTCCACTAGGTGTCTCTCATAACCATATGGTGGTTCTCGGACGTTAAATCCCACCTATCAATGAATTCTTAAAAGGCTCCTTGTGTTATGCTTTTATTTTTAGGTAGAGTGTTTCCTTAGGCGAGCTGTTTCATATTTAAAAACAAAACAGCACGAAAGTGGCTAAGGCTGTGCATTATCTTTTTTCTCCATTGTTGCGTAATCTTTATTATTTGTACTCTGTTTTGATAAACACTGTATTCTTGGTGCAATTGTGTTGTTTGTATTTATTCCTACTGGCGGATCGATTCCCCTTTAATATTTGTCAGTATTCCAAGATAAATTAGTAAACACCATACAAGACGCCTCTCCAGCAAGAGCAAGTAAGCTACACATCGTCACACATTTTGTCAGCAATCCGTAAACGCATGTGTGAAATTTCTGTCAACGTCAGATGGTTTTGTGTTGTCAGAATGGCCGAGTGGTCTAAGGCGCCAGACTCAAGGAGATGGTTTTGTGTTTATCTCTACTGCACAAATGTTTTACGCTGAAGCTCAACCACAGTAAGCAAGAATAAAATTGACATGTGAATCCTGTTGCACCTTCAGTTCACTGTAAGTTCTAACAGGTGGTACCACAGTAATGACAATGCAGCCGGATACTTGCCTCCTTTTCGCAAGCGTGGATGACTTCTTGTCGCATCTTCTCCTGCACATCTTGGTGCTTCCCCATAAGATAAAACCAAAACGTAAATGCCAATCTTGTGGTGTCGTATCTGCAGACAAAAGACACAAGAATGTTTTGTAGTTGAAGAATATGCGTAGGTATAATAAAACGTACCCTCCGAGAAAGATTGTCATGCAATTCGAAGACAGTTGGTTCAGCGTCTCCAAAGGCAGAGGGTCTTGGGTAAAAGCGAAAACAGAAATACTGTTACGGAACTGAACTCCACTTCACAGCATGGCGTGCCGACATGTCACTTCCTTGCCCAGATACTCGGGTTTTGCACTACTCTTGTCCAAAGGCGGGACAAAGTGTTCAGGAGGGTTTAATCTAAATATCACCCTGAGTTCAGAGTCACAAGACTTCTAGGACAAATCATCAGTAGGGCATACCTCGTTCATGAGCAACTTTAGTTGTTCCTTGTTAAAGGGAAGGGGGTATTAGGACAAGGGGTGGTGGGGAGTGAGTACTTGAAGCAGTCCTCTACCCTCTCAGCCCGCTTCAGGACCTTCTCCAGAATGTCGAGCCTCGAGCTGCGCAAGGCAGCCTCCAGCTGCTCCTCAATAGAAATTACGCGTTTCGACACGAGAAAAAGGGAAGACGAGGGTCCTTATGGCAGCGCCATAAGATGTGGTTTAAGTATGCGGGAAAATCTGTTATGAGCACCGCCGACTCCCACTTTTCCTTTCCCTTACCTACTACACCGCATTCATTCATATCATACTTTCTCTTGCATTTTGCTTCACTTTCTAAAGATGTTCTTTCGAACAACAAAACACGTTTCATCTTACCTGTGTTGTCTACCGGTTCTCGGCAACAATTCTCGGAAGGGTTTTCTGTGTGTCCTACACCATCAAGCAGTATTTGAGCCATGTCGGGAAGTTGCACCTAGATTAAATACATGTGCATTACGAACATTGGTCAAATGCATAAATGTTGTACATTGAATCGTGGAAAATAACATCGCCATCTGAAAAATACACGTAGTGGTGCGCATGCATATATATTTTGTAACCAGGATAAGCTGCTGAAATCAATCAATGTTGTTATTCAACGCGGACCCCCCCCCCCTTCTTTATTATACTACCAGGCCTCTTTGCTGATAAATGCCCACACGCAGCTGCAATATCACGGGGGAAGGAAAACTCAGGATAGTCCCTATCGCATCCCATTGCATTGAGAAAAGTGTGAAGGAAGTGACGGCAAATTTACGGGGCAAACAAAACTGCAGAAGCCACGTCTGGCCTCGCGTACTGCTCTCCACACTAATTTAATTCTGCGCAGAGTTGTGGTGCCGGCGCAAGCTTACCGTGCACTTTGCGGTTAACATGCAGTGAAATGTGGCAAGCACGCGTTTTGCATGCTGTTCGTCTGTGGCAGGCCTCATGGCATGCGTGCTGAAATTCTTCGAGGAGTACTTTTGCGCTACAGTACAGAAAGTTCAAGCACGTGCCGTAACCTTAAACATTCCGCCCCTGTATACTCGTATTCGAACTCACTTGGCAGTGACTTACGCGCTCTCCTGGGCGTCGGGCATTTTTTCCTTTTCTCGCACACCAATTTCCCTACCTTCCGGCTGACTAACCGGGAGAGCCCTAGTAGCTATTTGGCTCAACTCCAAGCTGTAGTATTTAGCGAAACCTTATGTCGAAAAGAGGACACCACTGTATTGAACATGATTGTTCACCTAAAGCTTGCGAGTCTCATACGCACACAAATACTAGCACGCGTCGTTAGCATACCGCACAATGAGTGCACCGCATAGTTCGACAACACCAAAACTTCATTGCCCTTTCTTATGAAGGACCCAACCTCTAATCTGAGCTATAGATCTCCCTGAAGGGAACGCTAATGGGATGCAAAGCAGCAGCGTTCCCTACGGGTGGTGTCACGGTTTCAACGGCACTAACGTGGATGCTGTGGTGAGTTCTGGAAGAATTGTTTGAAGTGTGGTGGTTTGGGCTAGTTGGTATGGCATGAAGATAGTTATAGCGCGAGAACAAAACGACAAATTCTCTCTTTCTTGTACCTTTGTCATCATTTTGTTCTCGTGCTTTAACTATCATCACTGGTTTGAAGCGTTGGCTGGCGTACGTCCTGTACAGACATGTTTCACAGGCAGTCCTGTACAACAGTCTTGTACAGACACGTACAGACATATTTCAACGCGTAAATCAGCCGCCCGTTATGTTTCTTGCGCGTGAACCAACGAGTCGGTGGTGTAGCGAGCGGCGGTCGTGGCAGGTGTTCTGGGCGAACGGATGAGGCGGCAGCTACGAACGACACAGCAAGCGCGTGGCAGGCGAGGGAGAGAGTGACGTCCGCGCACACTGCAAGACGAGCGTGACGTGAAAGCGCAGCTGCGGCATGACCTACTTGGCACCGCTGGAACACCTGATGCGAGTAGTATTCGTTGCGGTGCGTTTGTACGGATGCACGAACGTATGGTGTTACACGCGTGAGTCAAAAGCTGCTTCGTATATAAAAAAGGTGCACGTGCCCCCGGGAAGTGAATCATGACAAGAGGACAAACCTATGGGTATCGTAAGGATTGGTAACTGCATCTTATTCGAGAACTTGATGTCGATTCAGTCATGTAAATTTACATAGCGACATAAAGAGCCGACAAAGCTATGTCCTATAGATCATTATGCGTACGTTTAAGTTACTGACTCGAATAAACGATTTGTGCCTGTAGGTGTCACAGAGGACATTGCAGGTCGAAGACAAATTCATAGATGATAAGATGCAGAAGGTGTACTGTGACGTTATCGACTAGTTATTATGAAGAGTTTGTGCTGTCCATGGTTTGACAGAAGAGTTTGATCTGCCGTTTGCTTAGATTGATGGGCGCCCAATCGTAGGGGTTTGTTTGGTGTTGTGGTACTTTTGTTTTGTTCTTGTTAACCTTTCATACGGTGCTGCACCGTACCGTGACGGACACCAGACGGACAAGCCTGGATCCTTGAGTTATTCATTACTAAAACAAAATGCCAGCCCACACACACGTTCGCACTCGCATGCGTCATGCTTGCGTATGTGCTAGGAGAAGTTGACCGACAAGCCGGTGAGCTCGTACGCTGCATACTCGAGCATAACTGCCAAGTCCCAATTCAATTTCGAGCTCTAGGTGGCTTTTGAACAATTCAAATGAAATCGCAGAACTTTCATTGCATTCAGGAATAAACGCGTAGAGCTCAGCATCTGTCTCACTTAGGAAAACCAAAAATTAGCATCAAAACGATGTAATAGATGAGAAGGCGTCCTAGAACAATGGTAACATCTACCCACACGTTCCCGATATATATTCATGGTAGCAAACAGAGCGATGAAGCTGACGGACACACTAGAAAAAAAAAAGAGTCCCCATCTCCCCGAAGGAAATCATGAGGAAATGCTAATGCATTGCGTAGCATCCGTAGTCACATTTCGCACGTGAAAACCCAACGTTAGCAAGATAATGTTTTTTTTTTTACAGCTTGCAGCCAAAACGTCGTAAGTCACACGCGGTGTTTTTTTTTTGTTTTTTTGTCGCGAAAAACGGGTTATGCATTTTCAGCTCTAGTAGCTAGCGTGTACGGTTACATTATACTATGAATTGAACAAAATAAACACTGTTCTCGGCTTGATTGTTGCGTTACACAGCGGCGTCTCGAGCACACATTTCTGGATGTGCTTGAGAGACGCCCAGCCAGCGAACGGTCGAGAGTGAGGCGCGAGCGGACGGAAACGTGGGGCAAAGGGAGGAGAGGGAGCGAACGGCGAGAGAAGGAGCGTTGAAGCACTGCACCTGTCCATGTACCTGACGGCCATAATGCCAGTGCTTATCGACACATATGCTACACTGACGCTGGCAGCACAAACGCTACGAACGCATTTCAAACGCAATGATGAGGCGGTGGCAAGTCACGTTGAAGGAGGTGGGGGCTTCGGTTGCTAGGGGCGAAGATAAGCGTGGGCGTGCCCGCAGCTGCCGACGCCGAAGCATGACATGGCGGGAGCCCCGGTTGCTAGGGACGCACGCGCCCGCAGCTGTTGCTAAGTGAGAAGGAAGTGCACAGACCTCGATGGACGCCTCACCTAGCCCGATTAAAAACTGCATTCGTATTTAAAAGATGCATCAAAAACATGCTATTCTTCAATTCATGGCTGATCTCTCAAGGTGGGTTGAGCCACTCTTCTAGAAGTGAAACAACCCAGCAATCGTGTCTCTTCTTTCTCTGTGTCTGTGCGTTTTAGAGTCTCTTCGCTACCATAAATGCACACTCCTGGCCCAGCTATCCACACTTTCCCGATAAAGATCAGGTCGCCACTTCTCCGCACTTCCCACGAGATGACTTCGAATGGCGTCAAACAGCAGTTCGTTCTCCGCGCTTGTGTTTCATGCTTTCATATATGAAAGCCGTCTAACAGTCCATGCAATTCGCTTTAAAACTACCATGAGATCAGAAAAACTGTGAGAACATATTGCTAAACAAAAAACAGAAAGTTCGTCTTACTGAACATGCAAGCGGTACCAATCATGGTCTTTCTCAGCGATCACACAGTGATTATGACTGCCATTACTTTTAAATAACTACAAAAGATATCCCCTTTTATTTAGCTATTTTAGGTTAAATTTAAGAGTGGTTCCCTTATTTCACAAAATTTATTTCGGTAACATGCTCTGCAGCGTGCAGATCCTCAGTGTTCCAAATGGGGAATATAATGGCAATACTAACCTGTGGATTTTTTCGGCGGTATTGAATGATGTCAGTCGCCACCTTGGTGAGGCCAACAATAGGATTCGTGCACAATGCCGCAAATAATCTCGCTGGTATTTTCAAAAGCCAAGGCCAGTGGTAAAGATTCTCTGGAAGCGCACCACAGAAAGAGTTTATTCACAAAGTATTAGTCCTCCCAATGTATTTCATTCATACAGTACAAACACAAAAGGTCACCTGCATCGCAAACGTCCACTGGACAATGGAGACCGCAAGCGAAATTCATGACCATCTTGTGCTTTTGCACACGTCGCCAGCCGTTTTGCAATATTGCTGGATATCTCCAAAAGCGTAGCTCTTCCTAAGGCGCACGGCTGGACTGCTACGTCAACGCCAAGCTCGTTCCCTTATTGTCGCTTCTGCATTCTTCTTTAGCTTTTTAGGGGCGAAGCTCCCTATAGCAGCACCCGTTCGTCCCTCGTAGCCGTTGGAACTCGGAAACCCGTGGCACGTGTTTGGGCCTCTCTCTCGTAAAAAATGCTAAGGATGCTACCTAGGAGAACTTGGGCGATTCTCTAGGCAGTGATCACTGCCTTCTCCGGGTCACACTCCTGGAAAAGCCAGCTCATAAAAAATGCGGTCAAGCCATGTTGACCGATTGGACCCAATTTGGCAATCAGACTATCCCTCCCGTACTATTTTCTGGAGGCTATGCAGAATGGGCTCAACACGTAAACAACATTCAGAAAAGACTTGTTACTATCCTCCAAATCAACGAAGAATTCCCCGCAGTTGACACTCACCTCCTACACTTGTGGGAGGTGTGCCGAAGCTTAACAAAACGTTGGAAAAAGCAGAAGACTAATCGCAAATTACGTATCCGCATAGCCCAACTCACGGAACAGGCTGCAGCGTATGCTGCCCAACTCTCAGATTCAAATTGAATAGCCCGCTGCGACACCGCAGCTCGTCAGATGAGCTCGAAGGTGACATGGCGTCTCTTTCGCAGTCTCATAGACCCCTCTCAAACGAGAAGGGAGGCGCAGAAGCAGCTCCGGCGAGCTCTGCAAGGGTACCAAGGCACTCCGGCACAGCTTGCGGATGCTCTGTGCGATAGGTATCTCTGTCGTACGGAGGACCCGCCTGGGCCGGCGTAGACGTACTCTGGTAAGCCTAATCACCAATTCGATGCCCGTTTTGAGTTGCATGACCTTAAAGCGGCTTTAGCTAAAATGCGCAGGAGTACGGCTTTGGGGATGGACCGCATAACAGTAAAGCTGTTGGCAAACCTCCCTGACATAGTCTACCTCGATTTATTGGAATACATGAACGAGATCTGGAACGGCCGTGCACTCCCTTCCGAATAGAAAACGTCACTTGTGACTTTTATCCCCAGAGCAGGCAAGGCCGTGAATACGGAAAATCTGAGGCCCATATCACTGACTTCGTGCGCGAGCAAGCTCATGGAGACGATGGTACGGGATCGCCTCTCCCCATACCTTGAGGGCAAGGACTTCTTTGCAGACACCATGTTTGGGTTTCGCCTACACATGTCTACACAGGACGTCCTTCTCCAGCTCCATAGGGCCGTCATACAGCCCATAACTATGCAACACAATGATAAAGCCATCCTCGCTCTTGATCTGAAGGGGGCTTTCGACAATGTTAAACACAGCAGCATTCTGGCTAACTCGAGTTCCACCAATTGCGGGGCTAAGGCCTTTGCATATGTCAGAGATTTTTTCTCTAAACGCCAGGCACATCTTCGGATCGAGGACGAGGATTATGGCCCGTACATTATGGGAACACGGGGTACCCCACAGGGAGCAGTGTTATCACCGCTCTTTTTCAACATTGCTATGATGCGCCTTCCAAGCGAATTGGCCAGGGTGGAAGGCACACAACACGAAATATATGCCGATGATATTATAATCTGGACCACTGAAGGGAGCCTGGGTGAAATGCAGGAACGCCTTCAGCAGGCCGGATCCATAGTCGAGGCGTATGCCACCGATTGTGGACTCCAATGTGCTCCAAACAAATCAGAGCTTCTGCACGTTAGAGCGAAGCCAAGAGATAAGTCAGCCATACACATCTCTCTGTCTGGGGTTCCCATCAGAGAGGTGGAGGAGCTCCGGATTCTGGGCCTGTTCATTCACCACAGACTCAGACCGGACTCCACTATAGCGAAACTCAAGAGAATAGGCGAACAGGTAGGGCGCATGATCCACCGCATTTCCAACAAGCGGGGTGGTCTGCGGGGCAGGGACGCGCTTCGGCTCGCCCATGCCTTCGTGACTAGCTGGATCCTCTATGCCGTCCCATAACTTCGCACTAACAAGCAAGAAGACGAAAGAATAGATGCCATCATTCGTAAGGCTACTAAACGAGCTTTGGATCTCCCGGTGGCCACTTCCAACGCCAAACTGAGGGCGTTAGGTGTGCTAAACTCCTACCAGGAGTTGCGGGAGGCCCACCTTATGAATCAATAAACGCGGCTCGTGCAGATGGCTCCCAGGTGCCGCCTTCTGAACCGCTTACATATACAGCACACTTGCACTGCAGAAGAGGCGGAGCGTATTCCGGAACTGTGGCAGCATATGCTCTCGGTCTCTCCACTCCCCAGTAACATGGATAAGCACACGCACGAAAGCAGAAGACAGGCGCGGGCTCGGACGCTTGAGAGACAACACGGCTCCCGACCTGGTGTATTCTACGTAGATATAGCAGGGCCTTCGCCCACGGGATTTTGCACGGCCTGTGTAGTTCACCGGGAAAACCATGTCAATGGGCTCTCGTTCCGAGCACAAAATCCAGAGTGCGCTGAGGAAGTCGCGATAGCGCTTGCTGCTGTGGACCCCAACTCGAAAGTTATCATCACGGACTCCCGGAAAGCGTGTGCTCATTACTTGGTAGGAGATATATCCCCCCTAGCAAGCAAAATTCTAAAACGGGCTCTCGCTGATCCAGCCCCGAAACGCATCGTATGGGCTCCTGGCCATCAGGGCTTAGGAGGTAATGAGGCCGCTGACGCGGCCGCCCGAGCGCTTACCCACCGGGCTCCTCACCTTGGCTCTTATGACTCGGAGGCCAATACACCGCTGCTGCGGTTCAAAGAAATTCTGACCTATTATCGCGAAACTCACTGCCTTTACCCGGCTCCTGCAAAGGGGCTGAGTAAGGCGGAAGAGCGAACTCTAAGGCGCCTGCAGACAGGTACTCTACTCTGTCCTGCAATCCTAAAACATTTCGATGCGAACACAAATGAGCGGTGCCCACACTGTGGGGAGACGTGTGATATCTTCCACGTGGTATGGGCATGTCCAAAAAATCCCCACCTACCCCCTTTCCCTACCCCTCCCCGAGAGGCATGGGAGACTGCCCTCCTCAACTGCTCATCACTAGAGTCTCAACGGGCTCTGGTGAGACGGGCGCGAGTAGGGGCCTCGTCATGCGGTGTCCCGGACTAAGGACGCCGACCATGTGGCGGAGTCATGCTTTGGCTCCGTACCACTCTCTTTTATAATAAATGTTTTTCATCATCATCGTAGCCGTTCTAGAAGTGTGTAACAAGTATAACATTTTGACCTCCAAGGTGGTGCTGGTGAGAGATTTCTTCTGTGCGTTGTTGAGTAATAAAAGATAGTGCTCAATGTACATGCCAATGACTGATCAGGGAGAATGAGAGACAGGATAATTTAGATTTTAGTTAACGCGCACGCTGCGAACTTTTTATTGTTCAATAACGCACAGAAGACAAGAAAGGGTTGCTACGTTATACTCGCTGGGCGTAACCTCCTAGGTTTTAGAAAAGTTTAGCGAGCGTTGGGCTGCAGTGCCACGAATACAGTGAACTAGTGTATACCACGAACTCGAGGTGGTTAAAAGTGGGAAGTAGACACGAAGCGCAAGCCGTAAGAAAGTGTGCGTGTGCCTCCTCTCGTTCACTCCTTGGAATGTCCGCTGGATTGCGATGCTTCTATATGAGGAATATATGATGAGAAGATGCGAGGTGGTGGTACTTGGAGTGTTGAATAGGTGGACGAACGGACAGACAGACATATGCATGGACGGACGCAAGGATGACTGCATGGACGGATGGACGCGTGGACGGACGCAGGAGTGGATTCATGGACGAAAGCAGGGACGGACGCACAGATGAACGTGCGCACGCGCTAACAGACGCACGCACGGACGGGCGGATGGACGCACGGGCGACCACACAGACGCACGCATGGATGGACGGAAGCAAGAACGAATGGACGGACGGATGCTTCGCCCCACTATCCATGATTCACTCCGTGGATATGCTGCCATTTTTTGCTATTTTGTTTGAGCACCATTGTAAGCACGAAATAGTGGGCGCGAATTCAGGCATTTCAAATCGTTACTGGAATGTTTTTTGTGTTACAGAGAAGGTCCTCGGTATTTACGCTTTACTTGTCCTCCACTCACGAGCAGAACGAGCAGTACGAAGCATGCGTTTACGTTGGCAAAATATTTCGTTGATCTCTGTGATCTCAATGTTTCATTAAGAGTGAAACAAATCCATTAAGCAGTCTGCGATGTCAAGCTGTACAGAACAGGTGCCTTGTATGAATTATAAATTAAACAACCGCTCTAAAGTAATGCGACACAGAGAGCAGAGCAGAAGACAAAACAAAAGTAGCAGAATACAAAAGAATTGTTCTATCTTCTGCTTCGTTGTCTCCTCCCATGCGCTGTTTGATTTATCAAACTAATATCCTGTGAACTACTCAAGTTCGCCGCTCTCTGAGCACCACTTTAGCGTAATCCTCTCGTTGTTGCTATATATTCCACAAAATGGGCTACACGTACCTTTCTATAAATCGATTTGGCACTTCTTCCACTGTTCCCCGCAATAATGATTCCGTGAAATAAAAACCGATAAACAGGAGCAACCCTTCTGGAATGTCAGGCCGAGAGGAACTTATGGCGTATTGTTTTTGAATCATCCTTCACAACACGCACTAAAGGTTGAATATTGTTGAATCTTGCAAACTAAGAAACTCTGAGAAAATCGTTGAAATGTCGTGTGTAGTACACCTTAGGCGGTCTTCAGTAATTGTCGCAGGCTTGTATTCTTCTTTATCGTAACGTTGGCCAGTGAAACGTGCAAAAAGATTGCAAATAGATGGAAACCATGGTATAAAATTGACACAATTGTGACGTGACCAAAGATAGTAGGGGGTGGCAAGATCGTTTGCCGAATATGACTCACTGGTCATGAGATGAATATTGTCATAATACAGTCGCGAACGTCGTCAATCCTATCCACCAGGCCTAACAGGATTCCAAACCCTGCATGCTGCGTAGCACTCGAGTATTCTACCGCAGATCCACGCCAGGTCTCGGAACTACTTTTCTAATAGACCGTAATGTTCGTGAGGAAGAGGATGATGAATAAAAAACTTTATTTTGGAATCCGGTGGCCTCGTTAGTGCGTATTCCATGCCTAGGTGTCAGCCAGGAGCCCTTGGGCCCTGGCGACGTCCTCAGCCCATTGAATTGCCAAGAGCTATTCCTATGGGTCATAGTTTAGAAGCACATTCTCCCACTGCTCATCATTATCAATGTGCGACCCTGTCGAATCGCCTTTGGCCAGGCCAACAGGATGTGAGGTTAGTCCGCCCTTTCCTTACATAATTCGCACCAGTTGGTGTATTGATCTGGGTAATAGTAGCTATGCCACCTGGTTTGGTTACGTGTTTGTTTGAAGGAGTTGTCAGGCCATTACTTACTGCTTGCTAAAGGAGTGGTGCGTGGGAGGATAGCGGGCCCTTTCCGATCGGTAATGGTTTGTGATTTCCTTGTAGGCAACCATGCGATCTCCTCTCCAGCCTAGTTCGGGCGTCTCGCTGGCTCAGCGTGTAAATAATCGAGCCACGGTGTGAGCCGCCCCGTTGTCAGGAAGAGAGGTGTGTGAAGGCGCCCAAACAATTTCGACTGTTCTGTGGTCTCAAAAGTTGACCAGCGTTATTCGTGCTTCTGGTGTGATTCGCCCTCCGGAAAAATTTTTGACTGCTGCCTTGAAATCCCGGAATACACTTTAGCCTGCTTGGAAGCAATGGTCAATGCGATAGCCATTGCGATAGCGATAGCCAGGGTACTATCCAATGCGATAGCCAGGGTACTATCGTTGCCTGAACGTCAGCTGTGGTTACAGTGCTAGCTATTAAATTATGTGAACATTACATACCTACTCCTCTCATACAGTGGTCACGTGGGGTTAACGTCAATTGTAGATAGGTGATATCTAGTGGACTTGATATATGTAGCAGTGGCCATGGCTACCATGCTCGCGAACATCAACACTTCATATCAGCTTACCGCACATAGAGTGGCCGTTGGCATCGTTTTGCAACTGCAAACAACTTGATATAAAAAACATCTGTGGCTGTTTTACGTGTGCCTCTGCGTCTATTTGTACATACCTTTAGCGCTACTTCGTAACATTTCCCTCGATAAAAATATTACATCACAGTCACCTTCCATCCGCATGATTCGCATAACATAGGTTGCCAAGGTACGTGCTATCTGTCGAATTTTTCCCTTTGTGCATTTCAATAAAACATTGTTTGAGAGTCGGCGCCTGTTTTGTGCATTCTCCGATCTATGGCGTCCTCTTGAGTGTTGCAATGTTCATAAAAAAGTAATAACATCCAGCGTGAATATCATAATATAGCTTTTTCAGTGGTCGCCGAACAACTCGTTTCACACATACTTTTCATCCTGTCATGCTAATTAAAAAAAACAGCAGGGGTTCTTTGTGCTGCAAATCATCGCTAATGATGGTAGCTCCTCACTGCACTTTTGTTCTGATTATTGAAGTTTAACACTGGCTAAGTACTATAAAACACGTGAACAAAAAAACCTGCTCCACACGCATGCCATGTGAATGTGGAGGTGTGCTGAGATTAGGTCACTCCGATTGACAAGGATTAAAAGAAATGATTGTTGCGCAAAGCCATAAAAAGGGGTTACGTGCTCACACTGACGTTTCGACTAGTGAACATTTCTTCAACAAAGCTGCAACTGAATTTCTTAGCGCTACTCCACATATGCTTCATACGCTTTCTTCCAATTAAACAAAGGTAGAGGAAAGGGCAATTGTAAAAGCGGTGACATGGTTGAGAGAGAGACAACTATGATGAATCGGGTGACTTAAAAGAGAAGACGCATTACGTCAATAAAAAAAAGCAAAATGTGGTAGGAGGAGGCTGTTAGACTTTAGCTGAATGGTGGTTTTGAAAGGAAGCACTGCATAAAAATTTAGGCTTCAAGTTTTTAGGATTGCTTATCTCTCATGCGTTTTTTGTAGTTTATGTACCACATCAGCTAGATGTGCTACCCCCATTGAAAACTCTCATACCGACTGGGTGGAGTGTGTTGAAGTTGGGAATAAGGTATCAAGACGTATATGTCCTGTCTGTCGGGGATTGAAATTTTGACTGATGTATGTAAAGTTTGACATCGATGAAGTTCTGAACCGCTTCATTAAAATACTGTGCTAGTGCTTCCGGTTATTGTTTTGCCGCTAAAGCGTCATGCCCGTTCAATTTACCTTAAAAAGCTAAGTAAAATAAGAGCTTAATTCTGAGTCATCACTTGAGAGTCAAGCCGTACTTATAGAAATGTCTAGCCTACCATTGTCAGGTGGTGCTTCCTACTACTACCATATTTCGGCAAAACATATTCCGCAGCCCTAACCCTCTCACTTTTGACGTAGTCTTTCCGTTCACTTTTCCGCTTTCCGCTTATTTAATTAATCCATAGCATTTATTCCGGTTGCGCATCACTCGCCCACACCCCGCTTTTGCAACTTCCCAGCCTTTGTTAAGATTAGAGGATAAGGGACAAAGCATATATAATATTTTAACTAAAACATATGGGCGACGCCATCTTGGACTGAATAGTCGATTTTTCTTCTTTCTGTTTAATGATATGTGAATCAATAAGGTCATGAAACATTGCATGCATCCATTTTTGTGTGTGCGCGCCTACTGTAACACCGTTAATTTGGTTGTTGAAAGTGCAAAACGCTAACTTAAATAGCCCAGTATAGCGGCACCGAGACCTTCCGTAAACCTTAGGGCTACTGTGTATAACCGTAGCCCTAAGGAATCTGTTCCAATCTGTAAGAAGACAAGTCCACTTCTCGAAACGTCACCTCGAGCACACAAACCCTGTTTTGGTCTTTTTCCCAGGGCAAGCGCCCTTCTTCCTTTTCCTGTGGTTGTAGGAAGGGAGTGTTACTTACGGCCCAGGTTATAAAGGAATCCGGAATTGAGGTTTGGAAGGACATCCAGGGCTACCCTGAACATTGACATCTCGGGATTGCGCTGAACGTTCGTGTCCATGCCGAAAGCCGCCTTGCCGATCACGTCGAAGGTGAAACGCTCGCACAGGCTGTTGATATCCACCTCGACGCCGCTGTCGGCATGCTCCCCCAGGATATCTATGAACTGCTGCTCGGCGTGCAGCAGAGAAGGCATCACCTGTCGTGGTAGTAAACGCCCATCAGCATTTGTAATGGCAACACGAGCAGGCTGACAGCCCCACGTCTGCACTATTCCTTTCATCATCCATTCATATTACACGAAGGCGCGTTATGTCATAAGACTGTCAAGCTTGCTCATTGTGCCATCAGATCTGTGCCATACTTCATGAATACATTTTATTCTAGATCGTTTTTGAAAAATACTTCACTCTTCACAAAACTTCCCTCTTCTTGACGCGTTTGTGCTCCCACATTCCTGTTCACTTTTTCTTGCCTCTCTCCTACGAATAGGCTATAGAACGGCCCATTGGCTGAACCGCAGTACAATTTATCGGGGCCACGTTGGTATGTCAGCCAATTGGGCCACTTGATCTGGCGAGTGGTGGCGATTTCGTCCAGGTTACGTAATAGACTAAGCTTGCATGGCAAGCTTCTTGTTCATCCTATTTAGTGTTTGTCCTGTCGGGGATGTGCTATACCTCAGATATTATTTAGTAGAAGAGGGGCGCCTTTGAAAAAGTTTTTAAAGCTTAAATGGCTGATACCGTATAACTCGTGCAAGAGCACCAGTTTTTTTTTCCTTCAATTTTATTGGGTTGCGGCCCCTCCAGGAAAGGGTGAAAGTTTAGTTCAGTGTTCGTTCCGCATATGAAAAAACCTATTTAATCCTGCAATAAAGACCTAAGCACGGAATATCTGGCGTTTCGCTGCAGACATTTTCGCTAGATGTCTTCGTCGGTACGGCTGCTCGAGTCATCCGCACATTCATATAACAAATCGTCATCAGCGTCATGTACGGCATTAGAAATTCCAGAGACATCAAAACTCTTCACAAGTGCGCTGTACGTGACGACGCAGCAGTTTGGTGGCGTGATTTTGTTTCTTCAAAATTTCCAATGCCAGGATAGGGGCAGTGACCATAAAAGAGCGCCGCCTATATTCAGGTGCATATGGTATTTGCGAAATCACCTAGGCTAGCTTCCTCGCCCAAGACGAAAAAAAGATGGTTAATTAGAGTGAAAGCTCGTGGGAACCACGTGACCACAAGTTCATAATGCCACGTGCACCACGATGAAGCCATAGGCGGTCACATGAAAATTTCCCCACCTCCCCAAAGGGAATCGTGAGGAAATGCGAATGCATTTCTTTCGCCGAGAGAGGGCACCGTGGCCGCCAGACATTCGCCTTTCCCGACTTCTGCCATCGCCTTGATAGGGGCCCAGCCAGAGAACGGTCGAGAGTGGGGAGTGAGCAGACGGGGGAGAGTGGGGTGCCCGCGCTCTCGGCACAACGTTGGCAATTCGCAACGGCGTCTGGAGCTCACTTTTTTTAGGGGCGAAGCTCCTTAGGGCGTGGGCTGTGCGTCCCCTGTATGTAGCAACCTCTAGTTTAGTTCTTGCAGTGTTCACTAGATGGCGGTACCGTCTCCTGTATGTAGCCACCTCTCGTTTAGTTCTTGTAGTGTTTACTAGATGGTGGTACTTGTAGCTGACGATGAAAAGATGCAAGATGTTATAAACTAGAAAGCGATACTTGTAGTTGATGAAAGACGTGAGATCTTATAAAATAGGAATGATGTCACATATGGCGCGTGTCATTGTTTTAAGGCAATCGTTCGATTTAGTGCGGCGACGGACGCTAGGGGGAGCGATGTAATAAAATCGAGTGGGCAAAATGTACAGAGGATTCATGGTTTACCAGGTTTACCTCCGGAGCTTCGCCCACTAATCATCATTCACTTCGTGGATATGGCGGCACTTTTTTATGTTCTCGAGAGGTATCCAGCCAGAGAATGGTGGGTGGTGGTGGTTGTGGTTAGAAGAGGAAAAGGGCACCTAATTTCTGCAGCCCGGTAGGGAGCACAGGAGAGTGTACGGGAGAGTGGGGCGCCGTGAGGAAAGAGGGGATGGCGAGAGAAGGAGCGGCAAAGCACTCCACCTATCCTCTCCTACACTCACTCGCAACACATGCTCCGATTGCTAGGAGTGAGGATAAGCGCGCGCACCCGCAGCTGTTGCCATGGGAGAGAGAGTGAGAGCGGAGAGATAACACCTGCCCGCATAGAGAAGGCTTCTTCCTCCATGCCTGCCGGCACGCGGCGGCCGCTGCGGGCGCGCCGTAATGCGGACTGGCAAAACAGGTGTTGGGCGTTGATGTGTAGGGGCTGCTCTTGGGGGCCGTGAGCAGTGTTTTTTATGAATCATGCGCTTGAACGTTTCACGTAATCCTTTCTTAAAATGCTCGGGTTTTCTGAGTTCTAAACTGGTGGCTCACGCCATGGAGTTTCCTACAACATTTATTAAAGGGCACTCTAGCGCTATGATTGTTGAGTCATCATGGGAACGATGGGTGATGCACAGATTAGCATAGTCTGTGTTTTTGCGCTCGGAGTGCCCGTTCCTGGCTACTCGTCTCTCGTGTCTCATCTTTTTTTTTTTGCGCTCTACTTTCTATTTTTAGTGTGAACGCACTTTTGGCTTTGTTAATAGTATTTTTTTATTTTTGTTTCGAATTTTGGAACTGACCACTGGGAACTACGTGAGCCGATTTCGATTCCGATTCCTGAGCCTAAAAAAAGAAATTGGCAGATCCAACATATAGTAGGAACCGATGATACACGAAGCACGAATCAGAACTGTTGATATGTCCCTTTATAATCGAGAACGTTATGAGATGGAGGTAAATGATCTCGTACATGACTTACATGTCATGATAATCATGTTTCGACGTGTCGTTTACCTTCGTCATCTATTGACGTCACGTGATACAAAATTTAGTATATGTGGAGCAAGAGAAACATTCTCTTGCTCCACATATACTAAATTTTGTATCACGTGACGTCAATAGATGACGAAGGTAAACGACACGTCGAAACATGATTATCATGACATGTAAGTCATGTACGACATCATACCACACTATGAGTGTGGTATATTGTTATGTTCTTACATGACACTCGTGTCAGGCTTATCATGTTTGCACCAGTCATATATTTCATCAGCCAATGACGTCACTTAACACCAAATTTTGTGTATGTCGAGCTAGCAAAATGGCCGCGAGCGCATCATGAAGGGCCCAATATAATCTAATGCACCGTTGACGCGCGCGAACGCTGGGCACAGCGACGCTCTATAGTCTATAGCGAGCCCTCTGTAGTCTGACGCCAGGTGCGACCAGCGTCCTTCGGCGCTGCCCGACGGCAACTGGTGCGAAATGGGACTTGCTGCATTTCGCGCTGATGCGTTACCCAGATAACACTGCGTCTCCCTCTTTTCGTTACGGAGGAATGCTGGACGCGCTGAAACGCGCATGCGTCAAAGCAATGCAGCGAGGCGCGCGCCGGCGAGTATACCTGGCGCCTGGCGTGACGTGACGAAATGAACGCCAGCGACCTCGTGCGCCGCTTGACGTCAAAATGTATTGGCGTCTTGACTTTGGCATTTAGTACTGTTCTCACAGAACACGCATCTCATGATTATTATTTTTTTGCCAGTGACATACCTTCGTCATCTATTCGTGTCACGTAATACCAAAATTGGTATATGTGAAGCTAGCGAAACGGCCGCGAGCGCATCATTAATATGGCGCGTAGTCATGTTGTTACATAATACGCGTGTCGTGATTATGATGTTTGGATGTGTCATTTACTTATGTCGTTCGTTCGCGTTGCGTAATACCGAATTTGGTATAAGTAAAGCTAGCGAAGTGGCCGCCAGCGCATCATGAGCGTGGCATGTAGTCATGTTGTTACATGACACGCATCTCATTATTATCATGTTTGCACCATTCACATACCTTCGTCATTCATTCACGTACTGTAATACCAAATTCGGTATATGTGACGTTAGCAAAACGGCCGCGAACGCTTGACGAACGTGTCCTGTGGTCATGTTGTTACATGACAAGCATGGCATGATTTTCATGTTAGGCCTGTCGCTTGTGTTCACCATGCAATCATCCCATGATAGATAGATAGATAGATAGATAGATAGATAGATAGATAGATAGATAGATAGATAGATAGATAGATAGATAGATAGATAGATAGATAGATAGATAGATAGATAGATAGATAGATAGATAGATAGATAGATAGATAGATAGATAGATAGATAGATAGATAGATAGATAGATAGATAGATAGATAGATAGATAGATAGATAGATAGATAGATAGATAGATAGATAGATAGATAGATAGATAGATAGATAGATAGATAGATAGATAGATAGATAGATAGATAGATAGATAGATAGATAGATAGATAGATAGATAGATATGCGCTCAAAGCCGCCGAAGTTCGCTAAAAAATGCTTCGCATTTAAAAGGTCAAACAGGTGAAGGGTCACTGCTAAAGCTTCGCTGAATTTCGTCTTGCGGCAAAGCGGCTCCGGGCCTCACGGCACCAAAAAGAACCGAGAGAACATAGATAAGAAAAATCTTTGTACTACCCATCATTTTTTTTTCATTTCCGGCGGCGGCGGCGGCTGCATTTTCGATGGAGGAAAAATGCTGTAGGCCCGTGTGCTCAGATTTGGGTGCATGTTGAAGAACCCCAGGTGGTCAAAATTTCCGTATCTCTCTACTACGGCGTCTCTCATAATCATGTGGTGGTTTTGGGCGTCACTAGCTGCACTTTCGTATTGTGATTTATCATTGGTCATTCCTCGTCATTTCCGAAACGATTGAAACCCCACTAGAAGAAAAATTTCAAAAGAAATGTGCCACCCGATGTGAAGCTTTTCCATTTCGTAGTTGCGGTACAACAAATTGCCTTGAGACACTAACTCCACACAGGCAGCGCCAACCGACCACGCCTTTCGCACTGGGGCATCAGAAAATATCCCTTTGTTAGTTGTGCTCCGTTCTAGTACCTCAAGGCTGGCAAAAATTAAACGTCAATGGAAGGCTGCTGTCGCCATGCGTTTTGTTAAAGTGCATATGTCGCTTCAACAAAGGCAGTAGAACATGTGGCATTGAGGGGCAATCAATAGTGTGGCTAGAAAAATGACTGTAAAAGGGGATGAAAATGCGAACATAAAATAACACGATAAACACCTTCGCTGGCGTTCCACCTTCACAAAGGGGAGGAACTCATGGTCATTTTTTTAAGTGAACAACACTCTTGAATAGTTAGACCAATATAATGCACCTTGAATTGTGGTAAATGGTCGCACCCAATTTATCTTTCTAACACACGTATGAGGCCTGCTAACATTTACCTGGTTTCGTCTTTGAAGTTTAGCTATATTCATTTGACTAGACTGTCCATATGTCTTCTGAAAATGTTATGGAGAAAGGCATGCTCATTCCAATCACGTACCGCTTTCAGCTTTGAAGGGGTGAAGAAGCGCATCATGCAAGCTCTGGTTGACTTCCAGATGGCACCTTTGGACAAGACGACATACTTCTTGAACAATGGGTCCACTTCGTAGACGTGCATTGTGCGCTGTGGAAGAGGCTAAAAGTGTAAAAGCTCGAACCGGGCACACCTTCATTACGCGATCGGTGAAATAGTTTATTTCTCATTCTTTTCAATGAGCAGACAAACAATGTTTTCTGCGGTTCTTTTGCCACATTAATCGATCTTGTCAAGTCGTTTCCCGCCAACATCTCAGCTTGCGAGTTTTTTTTTTCAGTTTTACATTTGCACACGTTTTTTCATAAGTTGATAGTCCATGGCAATGACTGGATATTCAGAGATTCAGAACCATGAAATCTTGGTTGGTGTTATTGAATTGGCGTTCAGTCGAATATTTTCCCCACTAAACCACCGCTGCGCATAGGCTGGTGGAGGCATTGGAACTTTAATTTTTTAGTGATTACGTATATAGAGGATATTTTGTGAGGAAGATATTTATCAAAGGTAAAAATCATTGCGGTGTGAAATATTTAGGGCGTCTCAAGTTTTGCAGCCATTACTAACATTTTTAATGAGGTTGAGTCAGTCATTTACTGTTCACTATATATATATATATATATATATATATATATATATATATATATATATATATATATATATATATATATATATATATATATATATATATATATATATATATATATATATATATATATAAGGGAGAAAAAATGTATACTTAAGGGCTCTTTTTTCCGTGTTATGACACAATATTATTGTTGAGATCAAACAGAAAATAATTCCAAGGAAAGCATAGGGGAAGTTATTAGACCGAATATAGATGTAAATATGAAGACAGAAAAGTGGGTGAAAATATAACTTGCCATGGGCAGGAACCGAGCCTGCGACCTTCGAATAACGCGTACGATGCTCTACCAACTGAGCTACCATGGCGGCAATCCCCCCAACCACTTTAGTGAGTATATATTGTGCGTGTGTTTGTATGTCTACGTGCATAGTATCTATGCAAGCAAGATCGACAAATTTCGCAAATGGGGGTTTCAGCCTTCTCCCCAAACATGGCGTATGCCAAGCATCGATTGAAGACTAACTGAGCTAACGTGTACAAAAGCTGGAGAACAAAGTGTTGCTCTCACCAACAACACGATGCGTACTTACACCACGACCCTGAAAGTTGCTCGAGTTCTTGATGAATATGTCGTGTATCATGTCCAGGTCTTTCACCACGACCATTGGCGTGTCCCCAATGAAGAACCTGCAAGAGATTTTGTGTTTTATCGTATACCCATCGTGAACGAATGCACTGAACAATGTAACGAGTGGTCTTGAGTGTCAACTGAAAAGAATTGGAGAGATGATGCAGGGGCAAAAAGTAAAATAAAGATAAACTCAAAAGTGAAGTATTGCACTTTCTCTTTATATTCCACTGGAAAACGAAGCTCATGTGCCATTACTGAGAGATATATTATAGGCAACTTGCAGATTTTTCTCTGAATAATGAGAATGCCCACTTATGAATAAAAATTATTTGTCACTGGGCCCTGTAACAGGTGTCGCCAAATATTCATCACTCTCCATGCAGAAATCGACATATGAACTTAAAACAAGATTGTGCAATAACGTCACATGCCATCAGAAAATAGCCTTTCACTAGATGCGCAGTATTGTAACAGACTGAAGACTAAGGAACATATTCTTACGCGTGTCCTTGTTGTTTTTTGAGGTATTCGAAGTTCGTCACCTAAAAAAAAGTTGTGATCAACAAAGACGCACCACATTTATTGGAAGCCGCTCTCGGACGTTATGGTTGGTATTGTCTTCAATTAGGCTACACAACCGCTTCAATCAAATATCAGCTGTCCTATTCCGACCTTTATATGTTCCCCCGGGATCAGGCACAAATATATGTTTAGGTGGACATGCATAAGGTGCAGAGATGAGGAAGTTTCACCTGAGGAGGGAATTATCCATGAATGAAGTTCATGCTCGTGACTCTATTTGCATTGTGAATGTTTGTATATTGCTGCACAAACACACACACTTGCGCAGTATAGAGCTTAATTTCTACAATTGTGTCAACCACATTCTCCATGGTCCAGATCAAATGGCATTGCTACTCAAGTTTTCACTAAATCAGTGACATGTTTTTATGTTTTCTCACGGGGTCCATATAGAATCCAGATTGTGGTTTTATAATTCTGGAAGCATATCACCAAAACTGACGGATCGTTAAAAGAAACGTTTGTGCAGAAAACACTCAATGTATTTTATCTAACTCGTAGTAGTGTTTATTTTTCTTTCAGGTTATTCTGTTTTACAAGGTTCTTTTTTATATAAACATGAAGGGGACTCTGCCATGCAATGATCCTCCAATTGCTTGAAAATACCTGGTTGCTAAACAATCTCACTTTTATAAAAAGCTCAAAACAAATATAATACGTTTACTTTACCCAAAAACATCTCCGTATTCCTTGAGCCATTGGTCCAGACGTTCAAGGACTGTCTGCAATAGAAAGATTGCTATACGTGCAGCTACATATTGTGTAAATGAGAGAGTCATGATTGCAAACGCCACAAACCTAGAAGAATTTTCTTTTGAGGATTGAGGCTTGCTTACGTGCTCAAATCTCAATCAATGGGAACACTACACAGGTTAGGTTGAAAGGTATATTCGCTTGTTTGTGTAAAGTGGCTAAGTATGATACCATACTTCACTATATTCACTACTGTGGCTCCTTAAATGTTTCAGAATATGCGACACTACAGTCTGTAGTACGCAATCTAAGTTCATAGACACTAACTAGCCGTTCTTATAACTCTGCAAATACAGGATATTTACATACATGTGCAGCCTAGTAACTAGTGAACAGCGAAGTATTGTCCTTAAACACGCATACTTTTAATTTAAGCAATTCTCAAAAGGTTTAAAGCCAATTAGGTGATAAAAGTTATTTTTTATTGACTGAAAGGTGTATATAAGTACTCCAGAATCACACAAACACTCTATACTTCCACACTTAAGTAACAAAGACTGGATGTGTTGACTGTATTCGCGAAACCCAAAGCTGCAAAAGCATTTGAATAAACGTTTTACGCAGTGAAAAAAGAGGTATGTAGTTTTTGCGCTCTGTAGAAATTGTTGTTTTCTATACAATCCTTGCTGCGAGGAAATAGTTGTGCTGTATCATGCGCTGTTCTCGCAACCACTACAAAATGGATGAAATGATATGATTTCGGCGAGTGGTGATATTTGTAGTGCTGGCGACTGCGTTAGGAAAGTACTGAAAAGTAGCTGACCCTGCTCCACATCTTTGACCACTGCCTATTCTTCAAGTAAACACAGTAAGAAGTCCTCTAGAAAAAGTCAAAGTCAAGGATCAGTTCCCACATTTGCAATCTTCTTATTATTCTATTAAAAAACGAAGTGACCCCTAGATTTAGCGTTAATATTACGGAATTGATGTAAGAAGATATAGAAAGAAACTTTAAAAAAAAAGGGACATTTTTGTTGTGTAGAAAAAGTTTCGGAAAGGTCAGCTTCGGGCCACGTAATTCGAAAAGGACGCTGGCCGATCCCCACAGCAGCAAAGTCTGTAGCCTAGCGAAAAATATTAACTGGTCCTTGAAACTGCTCTTACATGCTTTTTTGTTTGTTTGTTTTTTTCAACGCCGGTTGCTGGGTTAAGTGTTAGGAGTCCTGAGTGGCAATTGTTTGTGGCGTTTTATCTTATGCCTCAGCGGTCCGTGTTCTACGCAAAAGCAGCACTGTAGAAGGCATCACCTAGACGTTTGTATGTATGAGAACTGCTCTAAAGAACTTGTTTACAGCATGAATGCATACATCACTATATGCAGTCTGATAGAAATTTAGAATACCGTGGTAGACCGTCTTCGAAAGCGGATGCAGACGCGCCTTCCCTGCAGTGGGCGCACACTCCAGACTGAGGTAGTCAGCCGGACGGTCACTGGCCTCTCATTCAGAGGAGATAGCCGAGAGCATGAGAGGCTCTATTTCATCACACATGCGATCAGCTGCCATGCTTTATTCATTTTGACAAAGCCTGTCCAGATTTAGACTATGCGACTAAAATAATGACTGTGGTTTTAAGTACCAAAACCGTGATAGGATTATGAGGAACATCCTAGTGGAGGGCTCCAGAAATTTCGATCATCTGGGGCTTTTTAGCATGCACCGATGTTGCACAGCACCCGGGTATCTGCCATTGTGCCTTCATACAAATGCGACCACCGCGGTCGGCATCGAACGCGTGAGACTATCCGAATATAGTGAACCGCGCAAAGCGCAGTGTTCGGGCCCACACTGGCTTGTGCACTTCAACAAGAAATGTGAGACGTTTGGCAGGCGCAGGGAGAAATGAGTACCTTTCGCACACGATAATAAATTATGCTGTATTTTTATGTATTTGTTTTTTATAACCGCTTTATCTTTACCAAGGACCGATGAATATAAAATGCACTCGTAACAGCGCATTAATAAAAGGTCCTTCTCAATCTCCCCATTCTTTATGTCCATAGTACACAGTTCGGAAACAACAGCGTAAAGAGTGCTGCCGCTTTCACGACACCGCTTCACTCATCAGCCACTTACAGGATTCCAGTAGTCGTCCGAATTGCCACTGATGAGGCTCCGAAGAGGCACCGTCGGTACTCCGGTGCCTTCAAAGGCATCAAAGCATTTGCGGCGTTGTCTGTGAAATCGAATATTGTAGTTCAGTAACCACACGTTATGCATTCCTTGAACACGCGTGCCTTTGTTTTATCGATTCAGGAAACAGCATATTCACCAATTGTCAACGAATGCAGCGTCATTCTCAAGAGAGAGAGAGAGAGAAAATTTATTTACAGAAAGGTAGAGAGGTCGGCCTGAGCTATAGTTTGCTCTGGCCTGCTACTCTACCCTGGGGAAGGGTGACTGGGTGTGAAAGAGCGATGAATGACGATGGTAAGGTAGAGAGATTACATGTTCTTAATAGGCTGGGTAACTCTACAGACGTGCATCGAGTCCAGTGGCTTCTAAGAAGGCGATGACGGCTCGTATAACCACATGTGTGCTGCTGGCGTCAGGCCAAGGACGTCATACTCAGCGTTTCTGAGAATATGTAAGCTATATATAGGGCAGATAGAGAACACACCGGTTTATGTTTAGTGCATGATGAGCATTATGATTATTTTTTTTCTGTGTTATGTTGATTGAATACGCTGACACTGTTGATACGGACACCGGGCTGAGGAGTGCTTTTGTGCAGGAAAGCTGATGCGGCACCTGCGATGTTATACAGCAGGCGAAACCAGGCCACAAGAAAATCAAGTTCTGAACTGCTTTTTATCCTGTTTATTTTCAAGATAATGGACGCAGTTCTTCCAATTTTCATACAGCAAAGACTTATGTGCTGACAACAAACACAAGTGCCATGGGATTCAACTTCCCTGCAGACAATATGATTTAAGTATGACAGCAATAAAGCTTCGAAATGTAAGCATTTGCAATTCAAGGACTTTTGTCTCTCGGAAGCTTATTGTCCATTTGTTGCATGGGAAAGAACTGTAAATTTAAAGGATCGTTTATCTTTGCTGCACACACACACAGTAATAATGAAAAATAACATGAAAGGTCACATGTTCAGTCCTTGCCAGCGGCAAGTTATATCTTCTCCAACAAGTTATATCTTGTGCACTTCTCTTTCATAAAAATACTAAGAACACTCATCATACATTTTTCAGCAATATTACTTTTAGGTATCATTATTATTCCAAGAAAAACAAGCCCTTAAGTTTACACATTTTTTCTTCATTCATAGCAAGGCTATTTTCATGGCATATTTGATGCCTTGAGGTGTTATTGGAGGGTTCATTGACCAGCTGCCAGGTCTTAATAAAATCATGTGCTACGCGACACCATCCGGCAAAAAAAAGTATTCCACACTTGTCGTAAAGCCTACCGGCGGTGCTTAGCGATACTCCAACGTCGCAATAGTTAAATATAACAAATAAAGTGGACGGAGGTATGGCCTCCATCGGAGCTCAGTTAGTAGAGCATGTGACGCGTTCTTCTAAATTGTGAATATGAGTGCTCGTCAGATGCAAGTCATATTGGCGTTCATTTTTAAATGTGAAGCATTTTTTGCGAACTTCGGCGACATTGAGCCTATCTATCTATCTAGCCGCTTGGGTTTGGGGGCTCTTGTGGTCAACCCCTTAAATTGGCGTGAACCAAAATAAGAATGGGAGGGCAAGATGGTTTGACGAATATGACACGCTGCTCAGGACATGAATATTGTCACAATCCCGTCGCTTACGTTGTCAAACACTTCCCGCCAGACAGTGGCACATATCCATGGTCAGGTATGTGCCGCTGGTATGAGGGTATGTGCGACAGGTGTTTGACACGTAGTCTGCACAGGAACGACGAGAACACATATGGGCAATTTTAACGCGTGTGCGTTCAGCACACCCGACATTGCTAGCGTCGACCCAACGAAGGCTCATAATAAATGTCAGTTTAAGAAAAACCTGACACAGGCAGCGCTGACCCCCCAATGAATGCTAATAATAAATTTCATTGTCCCAGCAGGAATCGAACACAAGCATTCTGAGTGGCAGTCAAGCATTCTGTCACAGAGCAACACCAGGTCTCGGACCTTTTTTTCAAAAAGACGCTGATGTTCGCGAAATTTCTAGAGTGGTTCACGCTCACCTTCCCTACGCAAGCTTCGCATAACATCGATTTCCAATTACGTGGGAACTGCTTCATTTTTTTTCGCCACATTTACATTACAGTGATTACTACAACATCTTCTATAATTTTGTTGGCCTCATTGTCTGTGAGCTTTCATCAATGTTTGTTACGTAGGCCGCAGGAATACGAAAACTCAAGTGGAGGCATATTCGCTCAATATAGTCTAAAATACATGATCGAAACTAACTTCATCATAATAAACATTTATGACCTAGACATCAGAAAATATACAAAAATAACTTGTTCATAACACAAACTACAAGCACTACAAACATAACTACAACCAGGACACGATTTCATTGTCATCAAAATAACCCATGTAGTGGATACTATTGATACCAGTGGCTAACAATCCACAGCCAGTTCAGGCACACACTGAAATTCTAAAATACAGTACATGCAAAAAAAAGCCAAATAGGAGAAAAAGAACAGCAGGGAGGTTAACCAGCCTATAGGGACCCGGTTTGCTACCCTGCGCATGGGAGGGGGATGGGGGAGATGAAAGATAAAGAGAAGAGAGGGAAGAGATGATATGCGAGGCACGAATGAGCATGGGGTATGTCACTTTACAATCAGCGCAACGTTGCGTTGTGGATATAAATGATGCCGTGCATGACTTCCGTGTCATGATTACGATGTTTGGATGGGTCGTTTACCTTCGTCATCTATTCACGTCAAGTAATATCAAGTTTATAAATGTGGAGCTAGCAAAACAGCCGCGAGCACGCTATGAGCACGGTATGTTGTCATGTTTTTACATGACACGCGTGTTAACATTATCACGTTTGCACCAGTCATATAATTCGTCATCAATTGACGTCCCCTAACACCAAATTTGGTATATGTGGAACTAGCAAAACGGCCGTGAGCACATGATGAAGGGCCCAATATACCTCAATGTAGCGTTGACTCGCAAACACGCTGGGCACAGTGACGCTGCGTTAACAAAACGCGAGGGCTCTATAGTCTGACGCCAGGTGCGGCCGGCGCGACCAGCGTCCATCGGCACGGCCCGTTGGCAACCGGCGCGAAATGCGACGTGCTGCATTTCGTGCCGATGCGTTACCCAGACAACAGTGCGTCTCCCTCTTTTCGTGACGGAGGGACGGCGGATGCACTGAAACGCGCATGCGTCAAAGCAACACCGCGCGGCGCGCGCCTGCGAGTATATGGCAGGACCGGCGTCTGGCGTGGCAACGCCGGCGTGACGCGACGAAATGAACGCCGGCGAGCACGCGCACCGCGTCACGTCGAAATGTATTGGCGCCTTGACTGTCATGTAGTCATGTTCTTACATGATATGCATTTCATGATTGTCTTGCTTTCACCAAACAGGTACCTTCGTCAACCATTGACGTCACGTAATACAAAATTTGGCATATGTGAAGCTAGCGGAGCAGCCCCGAGCGCATCATGAGTGTGGCGTGTAGTAATTGTTACATGGCACGCATGTCGTGATTATTATGTTTCGATGTGCCAATTACCTATGTCGATCGTCCGTTTGCGTTGCGTAATAACGAGTTTGGTACATGTGAAGCTAGCGAAACGGCCGCGAGCGCATCATGGGCGTAGCATGTAGTCATGTTGTTACATGACACGCATCTCATGTTTATCGTGTTTGCACCGGTATCATACCATCGTCTTCCATTCACGTTCCGTAATACCAAATTTGATATAGGTAAAGCAAGCGAAACGGCCACGAGCTATCATGAGCGTGGCATATAGTCATGTTGTTACATGACACGCATGTCATGATTTTCATGGTAGGGTCTGTCGCTTGTGTTCGCCAAGCAATCATGTCCTATCATACCAGTTTTCCAACATATCATGTGAAAGAAACCACCGCGAAAGCTGCAGGACCACGAAATGTAAATCATTACATTCATGACAAAAATGTCATGATTTTCATGTTATGACTAGAAATTGTAACACGCGTAAATATTTTGTTCTGCGTATTTATTACTTCTTTTGTATTGGTATCTTGCACTGACAACATAACTCACGGCATCCGGGCCAGTCGAAATCTCGGTAAGTGAGCGTAAAAATGGATTTCGTTTGGTCGCTCCCTTAGAGTTTCATACAATAATACCTAGAGAGGAATCTGGCACTGCGATCGTGTACCCTCATGGGAATTATGGAAAGTAGAAATTTCGGATTGGATCGCGTTAGCCAGCGATCTGTCTAGGGATCTTTTAGATGCGGAGCATCTAATACTCGAGGCTTGTAGTGCGGCGCCGTCCGCAAGCTTCCTCCTCCTTCTTCCACCATCTGTGTATCCCTTCCTCCTCTACACACCGCGCGCGCTTCACTCCTCCACCATCTGTGCACCCTTCCTCCTCTACACACCGCGTGCGCTTCTCCTCTTCACGAACATTCGCTAGCTGTATAATGTAGCGCGCATGCGCCGTCACGCTTCGAGAACATCGGCAGCTGACGCGCGCGCATGCGCCGTCGCGCTTCGAGAACATCGGCAGCTGACGCGTGCGCAAGCGCCATTGCGCTTCTCCCCCTTCTCGAACATTCGACAGCTGACAGTGCATGCGCCGTCGCGCTGTATATATACTCAAGGTCGGTGCTCGCTCGCTCAGTTGCCGCTCGTCGGTTGGTTTGTATGGCGCGTCGACGTCCGAGGTCGCAATGATCGACGTCCCTTCGACCAGCGCCGGCCAAAGTGTTGGCGGAACCGCAACCAAGTCGTCGTCCGAAGACAAGGCAGCGCGGAGAAGAGCTCGCGACGCCGAACGTAAACGTCGGCGTCGAGCGGAAGATTCTCAACTTAGAGAACGTGAAGCCGCTGAGAGACGTCAGCGTCGAGCAGCAGCACCGAATTCGACCTACGACCGCTGCAACCCGATCCACTCACTCTTCACTTTACCGACCAAAAAGCCATCGTGCTCAAAGTTCGTCGCAATAAATAAACACCACCCTTTCGCATACGTGTCGTACGTGTTCACTCATTTAACACCACTCCTACAACCACGTTAACCAATTTAGCCAGCGACCCAAGTAAGTCGCAATTTAACACCCCATTTCACAACCACGTTAACCAACTTAGCCATCGACCCAAGTAAGTCGCACTTTAACACCCCGTTAACCAATTATATGCTCCGCATCCTCCTCAGTGTTCCCCCGAGGGAAGCTGCGGGCAATTTTTTTCTACAGTTTCAGTTTCGCCCTTCGCGTAGAGTGGGTACTGGGAGGGGTGCAAAAGACTGAAGCTACGCCTTTGTTGCTCAAAGAAGCCGAAAACTGCTAGGCCTCTCAATTTACTGCTATGCTGGAGCTGTATAAGCTGTGTTTGACAGCTAAACGAAGCGTCTTCCACTCACCGCTGCGCTCAGATGTAGCGTCCCGTGCCAGTGCAGGATATTATATCGAGTTCACGTTTGTGGTTAGTGCGTCTTGCTAAAACTCGCTGAAATCAACTGAAAAACGACCGCGATGCGAACTAGACGCAACACCGCGCTCTTTTGACACGACTTCACAACAACCACTTGAACCGAGACACCTGGTATCGCAGCACACGAAACGTTAAACATTTCTCACTTAAAACTGTGCTGTTATTTCTATAAATAAATATGACGCACTTTCGAGGGCAAAACAAGAATGTTTCTTTTTTAAAATGTAAAGAATACTTCATTACATCTTGATGCCAAATCTGGAACGCAATGGCAGAGCAATGCATACCCTTGTGGTTAAATTCGTCCAGGTTTCACTTCTACCACCTAGTCACAAAAATATTTCGCGATAACGTTTGCGTAGAAAAAAATGAAGGAAGTTTTTGTTAGACATAACTTCATATTATTTAGTTTTTACTCAGCAAACAAGCGTCACGAATATCAAGAACCTGACCCATCCGAAGCAGATCCGAAGCCTGTGCTTCCCATATTTCTCAGAGGGGTACGAGCTTCGCTGAAGCAGCCCGCGTAGACACTAGTGCAAGATAACCCTCTAGGTATTATTTATTGTATGAAACTTTGAGTTCGCTTCTGACAAGTGCCTTTACGAATTGAAAAAAAAGGGAGGTAGGGATAGATGGAAGGTTGCAACGAAAAATTCGTACACAGGCGCCTGTGTGTAGGAGCCGAATTTTTCGCAAGCGGAGTTGTCTTCAGCTGGCAAGAAGACAGATCCACTCGTCCTAGCGTCGTCTCCAGCACACTTGCTCTGTTTACAAGTTTAGTTACATTTTGAAGCAAGACGAATGTTTGCTTACCTTATCAACCAGTGTACAGCGGTGTAAGAAGCGCAGACGATGAATGCGAGAAAAAGGGCACTGTCAATGCTGAACATCGTTACTTGAAATAAGCTACGGCAACTTTTCTCGCTGCTTCGGAAGTTTGGTGGCCTAGACTTCGCGTGCTACTATGAACTGAACTGAGAAAAAAATTTCTGTAAAGCAAGCACGCTGTGTGTTTTCAGGAATGCCGCTTCGTGGATGGTCCCCATGGCGTTTCTCGAGTGACGTCGCACTTGCCCTTATCGCGTGTACGTGCCGCACAAATCAGTGTTTAGGTCAGAGAACCAGAGAATGGTCAAGAAGTAGCTACGTTGGCGAAGATAAAGTTGGAGCGTGTGCTGTTGTGATATGCCGCATCGGTACGTTTTCACGAGAGCATTCGAGATAAGCGCATGCAGCTAAGCGCACCATAGTGACAACAGCGATTTTATTTACGCATACTTATCCGCAGAAAGGCAGGGCAGTGTCCCTTAGTCATAGTTTGCTTTGGCTTGGTACGAAGTGTGCAGCTTTACAAGCGCATAGTGGGTCGTCTTCTACCCTGCAATTTTGTAAATTATGACATAGTGGTCACTCCTCAAAGGTTTTAGTCTTTAAAGAGCTTGTTTCGCAGAAATTCCGCTGTTTGCGCCAGTGTCGACGTTGGCATCGTTCGTTGGTTGGTTGGTTGCATAACTTTATTTTGGTCCTGCAAGGCGCGCGTCAGCGCGCAGCGGGTGACTCCGACGTCGGCACCGACGCCAAGCCTCCAACGCCAAGCCTCCGACGCCAAGCCTAACGGCAGCTCCACGGGCCTGCTGGACGGACTAAAGATATCTTGAAAGGTTCAATGCTGTACGCAGATTCGCAGTTTTTTTTTTTTTTACGGCACGAATGAGGTATGCACCGGGAACCAAATCAGGCTAGCAGTTCAGAAGGTGGTGCGCACTAGGCTCGATTCACTATCGCGATCAGCTCTTTAGGCTGAAAGCCGAGTGTTTTCGAGTTTTTGCAGCGGGTGTCATAAGAAGGTTTATGTCGTAAAAAGTCTTGACCGCACTCACGTTCATTTTCTCACAGAACGATCAGGTGTCCACCAAAAAGCGAATAATGACAATCGAAGAAAAAAGCGGTGGAACCCCCCACCCCTCCCACTAAAAAAAATCCTAGCGCCTTTTGTTCTAATAGGCACCGTTGTTTTTGTCACTCAAAGGCGGTTAAGGTCGCAAGACTCACTAGAAGTGCACTCGCTTCCCCACTCACGCTTGAAGAAAACCACGCAGCGAGACTGATCAGTCGTCGACCATTTTTCTCCCCATGGCGATAGCGGAACGCCTTAACGCTTCTCCGCAAGCCCTACGTTGGCTACACTGTAGCTCATAAATCACGTGGTATCAAGAACTGGCCTCGAATTGCAAATATCATCCAAGAAAATGACGGTGTTTCCATAGACGTCATCGTAATGCGCTCTCAACGAGCGCATTCTTCAAGAGCCTGCGGTTTGGATTATGATTGTTGACAAGAGAGGAGTAAGCAGGAGTGCCGGTGCGCCCAAGCATGTCTCGCTTTTGCACAGTCTGATAATGCTTAGCGTCTTGGGCAGTTGCTGTCCATGCATAAGGTGATACTACTTCTACTCCGCGTTCTACATGCATAAAGAAACTTCGACTACAAACAAACTCAAGCAAAAAGACAAAGGGTTAATTCACTAACGAGGAATATAAAGCGGCCAAAATGTAACAACAAAAAAGAACGTGTAAACGTATTGAACAAACCTGGGAAAAGAATTGTCACACACTCTGCGGTTTTCACTCTTTCCTTCTGCGAGTGCGAACATGGCCTTAAAATTCCATCGGGAATTGTCCTCTGGGTTTTTAGCAACGTCCTTTTGTCTGCCTTTTGTGAAAGTTTTCATGATTACTAAAGGCATTCGGCACATACCAACAGTGGGGCGTAAACTGACAATCACATGGTAAAAACAATGCCATAGGATGCAGACCATATTAATGATGAATGTGAAAGCAGGAAGTAAGAAATAATGTTATCTTCTTTTCTTAAAAGCATGTTCTCTTCGTGTCGTTTCATTCTTCTTCTTCTTCGCGTTACGCTACGCACCCTAATTATGTGATCAAAGCCACAATTTCTTTTTAGAGCATTCAATTTAAGGACTCGTCAAAATAATCCACTGTATCGTTGGCACGTTCCTTATTAACGAGGTTTGTTAATGACAAAACCCCGATTCTTGGTTGCAAGCTATACGTGATGACGCCATCGGGCGTGCTGCGCTTGGCACTAGAAGTTGACGAGGAAGAAGTTTGGAACTGGCACGGCCGAAATCAACATGGCAGCAGCCACTGGGCGGGGGGAAACGGCCGCGGAGACGTACTCGTACGACCGCAACGCCGGCGACGGCCATGGGCCAATTCGCGGAGCGGCGCTTCCAATGTCCAGCTGTGCCGTGTCGACCGTGGCGTTGGCGCGCATTCGCCGAGAGCTCGAAGAGATCCGGTACAGCCCACTGACCAACTGCTCCGCGGGGCCCGTCAACTCGGGCAACTTGTTCAAGTGGACAGCCACCATCGTGGGACCGGAGGAGACGCCGTACGAAGGCGGTGTCTTCTTGCTCGACATCACTTTCCCCGAAGATTACCCGTTCAACCCGCCCATGGTGAGTAGCGCTGACGTCATCCTTTGAAAGGAGCTTGCATAGTGACCGAAAAAAAAAAGATATGGAGGTCACCTTCACAGAGAGGTGTGTCCTAGTGGTATCAAGGAGGATTTTAAAAAAATGGTGGAAGGGAAGCGCCCGCAATGCCTTGCCAGCAGAAGTAAAGCCAGCTTCTGCCACTGCCAAGATGCTGGAAACAAGCTTGTTTTCTGGTAGAGCCCGCCTAAATATCAAGTGGCTTTGAAAAGGTAAGGTAAATGCTACGTTAGTTAGACAAGATATAGTTGTTCCCGACGAAATGACACACAGAAACGAGTGTGGGTGACTGAATCTCCAAAGAACTTTGCCTCCAATTATAGGCTTACTGAGGAAAGTTAGTAACACTAAGACGCTCTTGGAGCACTATGTAACCCATAAAAGTTTCCACATTAAACTCGTAGGGCGTGCGAGGGAAACGCTCCGTTCCTAATAAAGGCTTTCCTTCGACGATGGCCCGCACGTTTTTCCAAAGTAAGAGAGGGACAGCTGAAGTTTCCAGTTGTTCCGTACTAGCCATGCGCCCACTCTTGTACGCATGCATAAGCCTTATGCTGGAAAATGTGATTAACTTGATTCATTTTAATTGTTCTTTGACTTGTAACATTTGGATACCCAGTGATCAATTAGATTTTGGTGCTCATTTGTAAGAGGTATACACTGTCTTTACTTGTTTTCGATGTTTCGTTTGTGTATGTACAAGTTAAGTGTACAATAAACTTCCCTTTTTTAGTCACTGAACGGTGATACTATATCATGCCCCTAGTAAGCGGGCCACCACAGCCGCCATCTTGCCATAGGCACGGCTCCACACCTGGGCAATCAGTTCCACTCCAGCAGTTTAGTGGTATTCACTCGTCAGCGTTCATGGGTCCTACTGTATACCTTCGATTAACTGTCATTCGCGCGCTCGCTAAGCGGGTCTCAGAGGTAATGCAAAGAAGCACGTGGATGAGATCTTTTTGATCAGGTGGTGCAACAATCTGAACTGGTCACGAAAGAAAAATGTCTGCTTTTCGGCCAACCCACTCATAAAAGTTCCCTAATTACGGTGGAGTTGACCTCTGTGTTGGGTAAACTACTGCTTCGATGTCATGCGTATTCAATAACGCTCTTAACTTAGACGTGACCATTGGTTTTATACCAGTTTTATTTTAAATATTGAGGAAAATTGAAAACACGAATTCCTTTATTATTTGGATGAGCTCATAGGGGCCTTCTCGTGGAAGCCTGAAAAATAAACACTTGTATCTGCAATGTAAGGTAAACCTTATGTGAGCGAATTAAGCTTCGTAAATAGCGCCGGGCCACTAAGAAACTGGGCAGGGGTGAGGCGAGGAGGTAAGGGCATTGCAGCTCGACTAACGTCAAACCCGTGGAGGAGAGAAGGATGCAATTTGCTTTCAGTTAGCGCGCACTCCGCGAATCTTTATTAAGCGTCAGCGCACAAGAAATCGCTCCAACTTCGCTGCTACAATATCTGAGGCTCTGCTTGATTTGATTTTAAAGCAACTGAATAAGCTGTAATTCAATGCATTTTAGCAGACACGGCGCTAAGTACATGCCTGTACTTCAAAAGACGATAGGTTAGTTCTCGAATAGGGGCCCCAAAGAAATAGTGACAAGGCCACTGCACTTGCGCAAAACCCAAACTGCGTTTGGGTTGCGGGTTGCGGACGCTATTTCTCAACCGGGAGCGCCAAGCCTACGCCAAAAGCTCTGGGTCAGACAAACGTGACGGCACCCACTGAGGTGACGGCTCTCGGCCAAGGCTAGTATGACATAAAGTAGGAGCAGTGTTTAAAGCGCTCCAGACCCTATTCGAAAACTTATTGTTCCTGCTCGACCCAAAGCCTCCATATGCGAAAAGATTTAGGGCCCTATTCAAAAACTTCCTAATGACTAGCTACCCTATTACAAAAAGCGCCTATTGGAAGGGCTCCTTCGAGACATTTAGCGGGTCGTTAAGAGACCCCTCGCTCTATAAAAGCTACAGGGACACTATGTGGAAAGTGAAGGTCGGCCGCATTAGTTAAACAGTATTTTAGCCCTTCGAAATTCAAAAGTAACACGTTTTATGTATTATTGTGCAATTTCAGCTATAGTGTACATCTTCCCGTCGTAGAGGTATTGCTGTTGCATTGTCCAACTAGAAAATGCAGAGAAGTATTTCTGGGCTTGCTAGCATATCTTTTGAAATATGAAGTAGGCGTTGCACATTCTAAATGGACGAAAGTGTACATTTAAGTTCTTCTAATAACATACCCTAAGCTATCCTCGGCATTAATTTCTGTTAAATCTCATTGATGCTGAATAAAGACTTGCATCATCTAGAAGTCTGTAATCTATTGTCTCTGTTCCATTAGTTCGCTTGTGCGTGCGAATCGTCACCTCGGCCTTATTGTACACCTCGGTAATCACTCTGATCTTATCTCGGGGCTTTCGAAGACGGCCTGCACAGTCAAAGTTCAGTATTTATTTTTCCAGCCTTTTTGTAGACGACTTCTATTA